AATTGTTACCAAAAGCTAGAAAACCAATTCAAATGGGATTAGGATTTGTTTTCCACTATAAAAGAAGGGATTTATCCATCAAATCAATCTATCTTCCATAGTTATCAATCTCTCTTTCACGGCGGCTTTTAAGGTTTTGAAGAAGAAGATCCAAAAGGAGTTTTGGCGGTCTATGGCGATGAAGACCACACCAACACAGATGATATTTTGTGTCGTCATGAGTAGCTAATTCCTCTCTTAGGGCATTGATGTAGCCCGAATCTGAATACTATGGTTTGATTGTTCTGTACTTTGGGAATTTAATATATTATGTATTTTGATTGCATGATTTTGGGTAATTGACTTAATTCAATTGGATTTTAATGATTAAATAGTTTTTAAATAATTAATACCTTATTTTAGATTTAATTGTTCTTAAATTATATTCAACTCATTCTTATTGAACGATATTTGGTAGGGAGGCCTACCGGACATAAGAATGGAGATCATGCAATGGTGTTCAAACATTTTTCATAAATGAATGTTTTCATAGTCTATTCCTAGGGAAGACGAGTTATACTGCAAAATTAGTTAGAAGTAGGTAGGTAGATAATTCGTGCCAACCGAAGATAGGTTATAGTTAATTGAAATTCATGGACCATCTTTCTTTAAATCTGAATTAAACGAACGTTATTGAGTTTAATTCCATATTATACATAATTGTTAAAATCCCAAAGTTGAACAGTGGACCATAGTATGAGGTTCGTGGTGAAGTCAATCCCTAAGTATTTCTTCTCTTGATCTCAATCATTTTATTCCGTTTATTTTCTTTTATGAATTGCAGCACAACATAACAAATCAAATCCTCTTTCTAAATTAAAATAGTATTAATTGAAGACTTGATAAACCACCACAATCCTTGAGGTTTGACACCCTCAACATAGCCCATCCTACAAGTATTCGTTTTATTGCTAGTGATATTTTATTATTGATAAATAAAAACACACATCAGCCACCAAAAGACACTTGAGAAGCTTATTAGATTGTTGTTTGAACCACACCACCAGATCCATAAAATTTAGAACATCAGAGAATTGGTTCACGTCCCAACACAAGACTTCTTCCAAGCACCACATTTCCTTAGCAAACTGGCAAGTGACAAATATATGATCCCTAAAATCACACTCACTATGACAGTTAGTACATCTAGCAACCAATTGAATCTTTATTTTCTGCAAATTAATCATAGTGGGAAGCCTAACTTGAAATATAAAAACCCATGTACAGACCACCTAGGTCTAGCCTTTCCGAAGCACACATTGTGCCAACTCACTTTTTCAACAAGCCCTCTGCAACTAAACCAAGTCTTCTTGATAGGAAAGCTACCTCCATCCCAAAAGAACCTATCTTCTCTATTATGTATTGGTATAGTAGAAATACATTATTTGAGAGGATTGAATAGTTCTCCTTGCATCAGCCCCAAATTCCAACTCCCATTAGTCATAAGACTATTAAGGTTTGAGTCCCTAATCTTTTAACCATTCTATGGCCAAATTTCTGAGCCATTGTTTGTCCATCCCAACTCAGATCAGCTAGAGTTTTGAAGTCTCCCCAGTTCCAAAAGAAAATCTAACATCCTGTTACATTATTTCCCTAATGCTAACCATAAACCTCCAAATAACAGAATTAGAGGTTCTAAGAACCATATTCCAATAAGATGCATGAGGTAAATACCTATTTTTGAACCAAGAGATCCATAATCTGTCTTTGCTGAGTAAGAAGTCCCAAACCAAAACACACTGAGATATAACTTGCAGGTCTTTCAATTTCCTTATACCCATGCCACCTTCGACTTTTGTTCCAGTGATCAAATCCCAACTCAAGAGATGTAGCTTCTTAGTATTGTCTGTACTACCCAAGAGAAAATTTTGATACAGTTTTGATATCTAGTTTATGACAGCAATAGGTATGTGAAACACACTACACCAATACAAACAAATTAATAGAAGTAACCACAGTTCTGATCAATTCAGCTTTCCCTGTAACTAATAGTAGCTTAGTACTCCAGGAAGTAAGTCTTTTAGTAACCTTATCAATGAGAGCATATCAATGTAAGCTCTTCAATCCTGTAGAACAGAGAGGAACCCCTAAATACTAATGGCAAAACTTCTTCCTTTCACTGTAGAATGCTCGGAATAACACATCTTCTCCTGACTGCTTTAGAAAATATAATACTACTTTTTTGAGGGCTAATTTTCAAACTAGCAGCATCTCCAAATTTACTAAAAACTGATTACAAAGTCTTGGCATTTGAAATTGAAGCCTTGCATGTTACCAGTAAATCATTAGCAAAGAAAGTATGGCAAATAGAAGACCGAGCTTTCAAACCAACATATGATAACACAAGGCTACCATTAAAGACAATAGCATTCAGACTTTGAGATAGTTGGTCTGTCACCAGAGTAAATAAGAAATGAGAGAGATGATAACCTTGTCTCAACCCCCTACTAGGTTGTATAAATCCAAGTGGAGAACCATTCACCAAAACAGAATATCTAGTTGAAGAGAGGATTTATGTGATCCATTTCACCAAGGTTCCACTAAATACATAAGCTACCAAAGCCTTCAACGAAAAAACCCAAGATACAGAATCGTATACCTTCTTGATATCAACTTTCATTGCCATGATATGGTGTCTAGCATTGAATTCACTCACCATTTCATGAGCCATAAGAATTGCATCTTGAATCTTTCTCCCTTTGATAAAAACACTCTGCTCTAACCGTACCAGTTTAAGTAACACCAAAGATAACCTTGTAGCCAAAATTTTAGTAATAATCTTGTATGAAAAATTACAACATGCAATGGGTCTAAAGTCCCTACCTTTGCATCATTACCAGTCTTAGGGATAAGAGCAATAAAAGAACTACTCACCCCCACATGAAGAGAAAATGTTGTAATAAAATATTGGACAACAGCATAGACATCTTGATCAATAATGTGCCAGAAAGTTTGAAAGAACCTGGCTGGGAATCCATCTAGTCCTGAGGCTTTATGAGGATGAAAATGCATCACCACTAATTTAACCTCTTCATATGTCACTGGAGAATCCAACACCATGCTATCTTCAGGAGTAATTAAGCTGATACTTGGGATGCAGCTCCGCTTGGCTCTCTTCACTAACCCTTTGATATAACATACTTATGGTAGCAATTAGCAAAACATTCTGACCATCCTAATTACACTAGGGTTTGTATAGTTTTGACCATCCTTATTTCCACAGATGTTATGGCATTGAACTGTCTATATTGCTTCATCTTGTGATAGAAATAAGCTGACCTTGATCACCGAAATATGTCAATAACAATTTTATATCTCACAGTCAAGTGCTTGCCTTCTAACCCACCTCGTTGTTATTAGACCACTCTATCTATGGCATAGACATGGGCACCACTTGAGTGTGCAAGAGCTTGATGTGACATTACATCAAAGTCTAAATTTGCCTTTAATACCAACTGTAACGGGTCAATGCTGACTCAAATATTTAAGTTATTGGATATTGCTGCATATCTGACCATATATACCCCATCCATTTCATATCCATATCTGATGTAGGATGAGCCCCTCTAACACCATTGCAGATAAAAGACAACATTTCTGTTAATATTTTCATTTTTAATGTTTTGTTTTTATTATTTACTTTCCCAACATTAATTTTAATGTATATTTTAATTGTGTGGACTTGTTACAAAAGCAATCAAATATTTTTAAAAATAAACATATATAGTGTGACATCCCATATTACCTGGAAAAAGTTTAAAGCACTTATGTGTTTGGACGCCCCTTAATTATGTAGACGCGTTTTAAACAAATCGTGCGCATCGAGAGGGGAGTGTGAAAAACAGAAATTATCTACACGGGTTTTGAGCGGGTTGTAGAAGATAGTATCAAAGGCAATGTCCCCAAAATTGGGAGGCGTGACATGCACAAGCCCATGAGGGTTCGGCTAGTGAGGAAGCTAGGTCCCAAGATAGGGTAATTTGTGACATCACAAATTGCCTAGGAGGGACAAGTTCATGAAATTTATATGTCTAGACACTATTTAACCATGTATACGCATTTTGAGCAAAAATATGAACACTGGAAAGTGCAAAGCCGACAATATTTACACAAATTAAGGGAGCAAAAAGTTATGTTTGTCAATAAATGACTTTTTTTCGCCTTTATTTTTCTTTTTCTTTTTTTGTTTTTGGTAAAGAAAAAATATATATTTTGTCACAACATTTTTTATGTTTAATATTTTTAAATTATTTATTTATTTTATCCTGACAAATAATAAGCAATTCCTAAACTTAAATTTTAACTTTTCAATTTGAAAGGCAAAGAAGATACCTCTAAACTGCAATATTTAGCCATTCAAATAATGGTATAAATAGTGAAACTTCGCAGGTAAAAAGGTGATTAATTAGTCCATGTGGATCTTACTTATGTAAGCAAGAACTTTGACCGGGCAATGATCATCCATTAAAATCGATGTACACACCGACTTAGGATCAGATTCCAACCATAAATTCATATAATATGGAAACCCAACGCTTTCTCCACACACACACACAGCTTCTGCCATTGTAGCTGAGTCTGCTTGGAACTGCCCTTCCACACCAGTTTGTGAGTTACCATCAAAACATGCATCAACATTCCATTTTAAGGCATAGGGGTTTTTATATTTAAAAATAATAATAATAATAATAATAATAATAACCGCAACCAAGTACTAAATATAATCAAAACAATTTCAAATCTAGAGTATCACAAAGAGTGACAAAAAAACTTAAGCGGGCAATATTGTATGCTCTCAACTTATTAACAGAACACACCTCAACAACAATTTCCAAATGCAAACATCAAATTAAGATACATTTCCTTAATTCCCTCATATTTTTCGCCATTGAAACAATTAAAAAGAATTATGAATCTGTCATCGGATCATATACGACACTATATATTTATATGTATATAATCTAATAACCCTTAGAGATCGGTCTAGATTTTGATGTGTAAACAAAAGGTCCGACAGAAGACAGTTTCATGTGCTTGTCACTGAGGAGATGAGAAGAAGAAAGTGGAGCGCCGCTAATCCCTTTGTTGACATCAGTTGGAACTTTGCATGTCTCCAATGGCGAATTCTCAAGGAACGCCTTGCACTCTTTGAGCTTCGATGCATCTTCAAGCTGTGAAGGAAACAACGTAGCGAGGAAGTAACCCTTTGCATCGGTTGGGCAGCTCAAGATAGTGATAGGAGCTGGTTTACAGCCATGCTGATCAACGGCTAGACATGTTACTCTTGCCACAGCTCCTAAAACAGTAGACAAAATAGCAAATTAAAAAATTAAAAACGTTTAACAAAAGTTGTGACATTGTTCTTGTAATAGGTAGTAATGGGAGCTGGTTCATAGTCAATGTTGTTCAATTTGATAATACCGACAGCAGAAGACTACCCTCTTCATAAATGTGTTGTATGGGTGTTGTAGGTGTAATGCACAAGCCCTAACAAACCCCGAAAATTGTATGAGAGGGTCGGACTTGAAAGACAATAATGCATAGTGGGGGCATCATTAGAAATTGAGTTGGGGGCATTCTTAAGATTTTTATAAAAAACCTACTGATTTTATAAACTATAAAAATAATTTTGTAAATAAAAAAAATTCAATGGGGGCGACTCCCGCCACTAAGTCCTTAATGGGTAATTGTTGTGCACAAGTAGTGATTTATATACAATTAAGCACATATGGAACCTTGTCTAGTAAAAAAAATAAAATCTTTGGATACAAATTGTAAACGATATATATAAATTTATGAATAGAAAAAAAAAATATATATATATATATATATTGATATATTACCTTGAAGAGGGATGAGTTTAGAGCCGGATTTGCAGTAAATAATCCCTTGAATGCCTATGATTTTGGGGAGCAGCTTATCTTCTGCCTTGGGATATTTATCAAGCTTTGGCTTTGGGGCATAGCCATAACCATTTGCAGAAGCAACCACAACTAGTGAGAAGAGAAGCATAGAGATTGCAAGTGAAGAAGTGGTGAGAGCCATTAATTCGATGTGTGTGATTGAGTTAGGATGGATAGATCAAGTGCCTATTGGATGCTCGATGCATTGGATTTTATATGGAGATTATACCAATATTCTTGTATAACTATATTATCCAAATCTTCTAAAATAAAACATAAAAGGTACGTAGTGCAGTACTTGGTTGCACGATATAAATCTAAAGGGGAATGGAGTGGCACTAAATGAACATGGCTTAATGCTTAACCTCATTATCAAGCAAATTGCAAATTGCAAATTGCATCGGATTATTAAAATAATAATAGGAATTAATTAAAGAAAAAAAAAAGAAAAAAGAAAAAAGAAGATTTAACAGTGAGTTCCTCAGGCACTGTGAGGTGGTAAAAGAAGGTCGTTACATATCCGTCCCATTGTCATACCTATCCGGTACGGCACAACTTTATCTTTGTCAAATTAACTGAGATTATATATCTGCAGAGTCAGTTTTGTTGCATCACTTGAGAGAACAGTCAATGAGTATCTCTAATTACATCCTCAACATCTACAATGAGCTATATATCATCCATTCAGACAAGTGGTTTGTGTTAACATGGACACTCCCAAAAGCTACTGAATTTGGACGCTTTGGGAGCATGTGTAATATAGGTCGGGCGTGGGGTGCCTGTCTTCTGACTACTGGGCTACCAACATAAACGGGGCATCACTCCAGCATGTAGGGCAAGCAGCGTGTAAGGCGCTTGCCGTGACACTACATCAAAAATTGAATTTGCCTTTAATATCAACTGTAACTAGTCAATATCTATTTTTTGACTTAATAATTTAAATTATTGTATAGTAATATATACCCATTCATATATACCTCATTCATTTCATATCTAGATCGGACGTTGGATCAGCCCTCTAACACCATTGTGGATAAAAGACAGACATTTTCTTTTAATATTTGAATTTTCAATTTTTTTTTTTTTGTTACTTTTACAATATTAATTTTAATGTATATTTGAATTATTTAGACTTATTACAGAAGCAATCAATTATCTTAAAAAATAAACATATTGTGACTTCTCACCTAAGAAAGTTTCTAACACTTACATGTTTGAGCACCTCTTAATCATGCAAACGTGATTTAAACAAATCGTTCACACCGAGATTAGAATGCCCAAAACGGACATTATCTACAAGGGTTTTGAGCGGGTTGTAGAGGATGGCATCAAAGGCAATCTCCAGCTGAAAATTGGGAGGGTTGACTTGTACAAGCCCATGAGGGTTCAGCTAGTGATGAAGTTGGGTCTCAAGAGGGGATGATTGTGACATCCCAAATCATCTGGGAGGAACAAATTTATATATTTATATGTGTGGACATCATTTAACCATTTCGACGCATTTTGAACAAAAAAATGAACACCAAAAGGAGAATATAAAGCGGACAATATTTACATTAGTTAGAGGAGGAAAAAGTTATTTTTGTCCATAAATGACTTTTTTTTTTTTTTTTTTTTCCCTTTTTTTCAGGGAAAGAAAAAAATATTTTGTCACAACAGTTTTATGTTTAAATTATTTATCTATTATTATTGTTTTCTCCTAACAAATAGTCAACCATATGTAAGCTTATATTTTAACTCTTCACTTTGAAAAGTAGAGACCTCTAAACTACAATCGTTGTCCAAATAATAATATAAATAGTGAAACTTCGCATATGAAAAGGTCATTAATTAGTCCATGTGGATCTTATGTAAACAAGAACATTGAGAAGGGTAAAGCAAAGATAAACAAGATTTTAGACACACACGTAAATATATATAATTGAATTGGTATACATAAAATAGCTGTTATTGTATACTTAATTCAGATTACCATACTTGTGGACCTAAACTTTTGTTGTGACATAGTCATAATCCTGTATAACCTCATGCAATGTGATTATAATTGAGGATAAAAGTTATTATGACCATGATAATGACATTCTACTTGGTCAAATAATGACATTCTAATTGGTCAGCTAATGAGGACTCTTTCAAATAAGATCAGCATATTTTGACTGTACGTCTTACGAGTAAGTCAATGTGTTGGATTTGCCCACGAGTTGAGAATACAATGAGCGACGCCTTTTATAAAACAGTAAACCACCATACAACTTTATTTAATTACCATAATAAGTTATTGATTAGTAAAAGCAGCTTCTAATTTCTTATTTGAACTGACCAATTTCTTATTAAATTTCTGGAAAATAAATAAACAAAAGAACATGGTTGGAAATTGTTGAATATATGAATGAAAATTGCATGTAACATGTCAATGTATTTCACGTTAGGGTGAATGTCAACTGTGCAAGATCACTTACATGCAATAATATAAACAATAATAAACTACACAGTTAACATATCTTTTAATGGGAAACCCGACCGCCTTTTAACGTATTCTCTGGTGGATATATGGACTCTACCATAACCAAGTAGAAGAAAAGATGTTCTTCAGAGAAAAACAGAAAGGGATGAAGTCAGGAATTCCAAAGAGGCAGTTGTAGGCGAAACCAATACAACCCTTTAAACCATTGCATCTGGTGGTCGTGTCTTGTGACGAACAGACACTATGTTTCAGATATTTCCAGAATAATGATGAATTGTATTTCTGAAACATCGCTGTTCGGCTAGCGAAAAAGCTAGAGTGTTCCGCCTTCCACTCGGGTGGAGGGAGTCGTCGAGCATGCCAAAATTTGTTGTCATTCCAAAGTGTATATCCGAACAATTATCCAGTTTGAGATTGCAACGATCAGACGACTGTACGAAGGACTGGAATTACTACCTTCGGATGTTTTTTTTTGCCTTAAAAAAGGACTTCTGGACTACTCGATCTATGGCTAGCGGAATGAAAAGCGGTATTGAAAGTGCAGGACTTCAATGTAAGGTGCTGGAAAGTAAGAAAGATAAGTACATGACTAGAATTAAACATATTGAAGGTGCATTATATGAATGTAAAGAGACATGAAATGTAATTGAAAGATAAGGTGTTGTTTGCTGTGTATGTTGAATAGGATTTGTAAACTAGCTCTAAGTGCTTTATTTATAGAGCTCTTCCATGCATGTAACAACTTGATATGGCAGCTTCGGCAACTTCCATCTGGCTTGACTTTGAACTGCCAAGTGTCCTTTATTGTCTTGGTAATTATAACCTCTTTCTTCTATCTTCTTCATTCTCTTGGCTTCTTCTGAGCATATCTTCATGGTATATCTCCCATGATTTCAATTTGTATATAACTCTGAATTGAATTTTTCACTTGTCCTCTTCACAAAGTTACACATGTCCCATGTTTGCTTGCTCTTCTTTCTTTTGCCGTAGATTTCTTCTTCAAATCAGACACGATTTAATTATCTTAGTCCTGTTATCCATAATTTAAGACAATTGCTTTCAGTTAGTGGCGATGATGGCATGAAACATTGCCACTTTCAACCGAAGTATTTTTGTTCAGCTAAGTGTCCCACGTTCCAAAATCTTTCCTTCTGCAGATATTTCATTCTTGTATAACTCATCAATATCATGCATATACATGGAAGTTATTTGTAGACCCACGTTACCCTTCTCCTTAGTAACCTCTTTCTGTTGGACTTTTTAATTCAACCTTGGCTTTCATGGCATCATAGAACCAGGACTTCAATAATCTTCTCATTATGGGTTGCATCTGATATATATATATATATATATATATATATATATATATATATATATATATATATATATATAAGCCACTGCCCACGTTCCTTTCTCTTCTAAGTAACTTCCCTTCTTTCAGACTTTCCTGTTTGATTGTAGCTTCCATGGCGGCATGGTCCCAGGATTTTAGCGATTTCTTCAACGTGGGTTGTATTTCAGCATATATATATATATATATATACGCACATCCAAAAATATATCTATCACTCACTTCCCTATTTGTTTGTAACTCAGTGTCTTGACTTGGCCAAACAGTTAGTGAAAATTTCCTATAATCTAGGAGAAAATTCAGCCCATGTTCTTCTTCTTCTAGCTTTGGTCAACTTGAAGTCATGCCACCTTTGGTAAGCCTTCATTTACTTGGGATTCTTTTGAAAACACAAAACCTTTTATAATAACAATTCCTAAAGGAATTGATAAGCCATGGTAAGTCCCATAGAACTCGCCATGTGTCGAGAGCCAATTAGTTGACTTTCTCTTGGAAAATTACCTGAGGTTGCATTCATGGTAGTATTTCCATGTCATAATCCCTCTTCCCAAATAGGAAATTGTGGACCCTTGCTTTAAGATGGCAAGTCCTAATTGGACTTGCCTCTTCCCTTTTAAAATATAAAGCTCCACATGGTAGGACTTGTACTGGTATACTTGTCTTTGATTACTACATAAAATTACATAGCTTTAATACTCTAAATGAAATTTTATCAGAGTTGCGATCCAACGTAGTAAGTTCCATTGGAACTTGCCACATACTTCCTCCTTATTGGTGGATTGCACAAAATCAACCTTCGACCATTCTATACTATGTTTCCTCTTTTAGACATTTAAAGCACCAATCTAGTGTGGCAAACTCATTGGAACTCGCCACATGTCGCCTTTCCATTAGGCCAAAAATAATGGAGTAAACAGTTGCAGTGGATGGTGAAGTGACGCACCTAGTCCTAATAGACACCACTTTGTCTATAAATACCTTTATGAGCTGCATTAATCATTCGTTCAATTATCTGATTTCTTTTCTCCCTCTCTAGACTTAAACCTAACCCAAGTGGGTTCAAGCCATAGGTCAATTAGTCCGAGCCACTTAGACCATAATATAATTTCACTGAACCATTTTAAAATTGGTTCGAGCTATTTGGTTCGAGTACACCAATTTCATCATTTTTATAGTATAGATGCATTTTTTGAATCAGAGAGAGTATTATACAGAGGAGGTTCGTCGTATTTACGAGTTTGTAGTGCTGCTATTAGTGGATGTAGACCGTTATATCCTGTGAGACAAGCGTCACATAGTCCGTCAGTACCATGAGGGGCGTAAATAT